ATTTTAGCATAAGAACTTGAAATTGAAATGATAATTGCATCCTCGTTTCTGATCCCTGTTGTCAAGGGAAAGAAAAAAGGGAATAGTCCTTAAGTAGATAGAGAGAAAAAAAAGGAAAAGGAGATGCTGGTTGTTCTCACTTTGGAAGTCATTGTTTAGTGTATGACAACTTTAATAGTACTTGTAATTCTCCAACATTGTATGAGCTGGCATAATAATTAAAAAAAAAAACGATTTTTGAAGTGTTTAAGAAGTACACATTATGAGTTGTATTAATTTATTTACAAATTTTTTCATCACTTTATTGTTCATAAATTGTAATTTTTTAAAATGGCAAAAAATGATTTTATTTACAAAAACTAAATTGTAATTTTATGTTGGCAGATTTAATTATTTATTTTTTAGAAAAATTAATATTAAGGAAAATATATATTTATTTTAAAGAATTTCTTATTTTTTATTTTATGTTAATATTTAATTATTTAAATTAATTCAATTGTTTATCAACCACAACTTGAGAAATGTATACTTTTCCCAATATTTCTCCAAAACAATATTATTCACGATATAAAACATTAATTATTAATTCTTCAAGAAGTAATTCAAAATCTGGTCATGACCTTTTTGGTAGGAAAAAGCTCCACTTCCATGTTTAACTTGGTGCTAGATGGCAGCTGGCTGATATGTTAAGTATCAAAATGCACTCATGCATTGCACTAGTCTCCCTTGTGCCATCTTGATTTCTTCAGGATACATTATTTAGGTCCCTTTCTTTGTTCTTTTTGTCAATCTTTAGTCTAATCTTTGAATTTATTTAGTCTAGAGAACCAATTTGAGAGATTGCACGCAGAGTACAGTTGTGGATAAACTGAAGGTACACACATCATACAATTGCCTGACTCCCATTGTGCATGCAACCAAATTGAAGGAACAAGGACATCCCATCTAAGATCACTTTCTAGTTCAAGATCATTTATTCAATGTACTTCAGTTATAACAGAAAGAGCTGGAAATGGTTACTAGAAGAGTGTGCTCAAACTGAGCGTTGCGTTTTCCATCTGCAGTGAAGCGGTCCATCCATCAGGCCATATTTGATCATGCCAGACTCCTGCCAAAGTTTTACTCATATGTGATGAGTAAAAAAGCTTTGAAGATGGTAGGCCAAACAAATTCAACCAACTACCACAATTACATGCATTAATCATTGGTTCAATTGTAACAGTCTGCCCAGGCTTCATCACGCCAACTGCTTTATTCCCTATTGGGGTTAAGGCTCACCAATTGTTGACTGAATAATACCTTATATACATTTTTCTTTTAGAAATACTAGAAGACATTTTATTAGCTATGCTATTTAACTATTCCATGATTAGAAAAGAAAGATTGTATCTTCATGTACATATAGTGTTTGGAGGCCTGATATTAAGGATGCTTCCGTAATGAAGAATGTTTAGTGCACAATGAAAGAGTTCTCCAATACTATGGTTATAATAAGATTTGACCTATTTCATCAGAAGAAGAGTATAGAAAAACTTTGTCCTTTAGCTTCATGAAATAAAGTTAGACTATGTTAAATAGAGTGAAGTAATAAATTACCACAGAGAACCCTGACATTGTAGCATGATGGTTAATCACCCATTCGATCTCCCGAAACCGTTCTCCAGGTTTCACTGAACAACACCTAAAAGACAAAACGCAATAGAAACTTAAATTAAACTTCAAGGTTTCAATACTGCATAGGACAGGGGACAACAACCGATCAAATATCATCTACTGGTTACCTTAAGTCTACAATAGAAATCTATATTGACCTCTTTAATTCTTTGGCCTGTTTTAATCCTTGTTCTGGGCATGCCTTCTGATCTTTTATGTGTGTGTAGATATGCATATATATATATATATAATAGAATATCAAGAAAGAAAGAGAATACAAAAAGAGTATAACACATTGTCATATATAGAAAAACAATAACAGAAATGAAAAAGGGAGAAAAGGCAAAATTCAACTGACAGCGTTCCATTTCTTTACATAATAAACAAAGGTAAATACAAAAAAAAGCCATACACCTTAGTCATAAATAGACACACAAATTATTTATCCCATTTTGTTCCAGCCACAAAACCAAGCAATCAGCCTTTTTACAGTGTCTTGTGAAAAGATACACATGTTCATTTGCAAAAAGTCTTCGAACCAAAGAAGATGATGAGAATACTAAGAAATACAATTATAGTAGTGACTCGACTCCAAACCTTCTAATGTAACAAAATACGAACAACAGAAAAAAGTGATGTAACTTGAAAACCAATAATACTATATGTATTTTCCAAACAGTTTAATTC